TATACTCTCTATTTTTCTAACCGGCGCTACTAACGGCCTCCGTTGTACATGTCCAAACCATCTTAAACGTCCCTCTTGTACCTTCTCTTCGATGCCTATTACTCCTATTTTCTTTCTAATATTCTCATTTCTAATTTTATCTATCCTTGTGTGTCCGCACATCCATCTCAACATCCTCATCTCGGCCACACTCATTTTTGACATATGTTGCCCTTTCGCCGCCCAACATTCGCTGCCATACAACAATGCGGGTCTTATGGCGGTACGGTAGAATTTTCCTTTCAACCGTAAAGGAACCTTACGGTCACAAAGAACTCCTGTGGCTTGTCGCCATTTCATCCATCCCGCTTTTATTCTATGGCTAACATCCTCATCGCAACCTCCATCCTTTTGAAGGATTGACCCAAGATATTTAAAATGCGGGTTTTGAGGGATTGATCCTCCTTGTAGGGTCACTCCCACATCACTAGGCCGTTTGCCACTGAAGTCACAATGCATGTACTCAGTCTTCATCCTACTAATCCTAAAACCCTTAGTCTCTAGCGTACTCCTCCATAACTCTAGCAGTCCATTTACTCCTTCTCTGGACTCGTCTATTAGCACGATGTCATCCGCAAACATCATGCACCACGGTACCTCTTTCTGTATATCTCTAGTCAGTTCATCCATGACTAACGCAAAGAGGTATGGACTTAGAGCGGACCCTTGGTGTAACCCTATCGAGATGGGAAAATCTCGCGTGTCACCCCCTGTTGTTCGGACACGAGTAGTCGCACCATCATACATGTCCTTCAATACTTGTATGTATCTTACCGATATCCCCCTACGCTCTAAGACCCACCATAAAACCTCTCTTGGTACTCGATCGTAAGCTTTTTCGAGATCGATAAATACCATGTGCAGGTCTTTCTTCATATCTCGAAACTTCTCCATCAAGTTCCGGATGAGAAAGATTGCTTCCATTGTAGATCTTCCGGGCATAAAACCAAATTGGTTTACAGAAATAGATGAGTCGCTACGTAAACGTCGCTCTACGATTCTTTCCCACAACTTCATCGTATGACTCATGAGTTTTATGCCTCTATAGTTTGTGCAACTCTGGATATCTCCCTTATTTTTAAAAATAGGGACTAAAGTGCTTTGCCTCCATTCGTTTGGCATCTTCTTCGACACTAGGATTTTATTAAACAACCTAGTAAGCCAAATTACTCCGTCTTCTCCTAAGCACTTCCATACTTCAATAGGTATATCATCTGTACCACATGCTTTACCTATTTTCATCTTTCTTAACGAGTCTCTCACCTCTACACATCCAATCCTTCGAGTATAACCGACATTCCTCTCCTTAGTGACGGTCTCTAGTTCTATGTGGTCCGTTTCCATGTTCTTGTTATATAGGTCATCAAAGTAACTTCTCCATCTCGCTTTGATGTCTACTTGAAAGGAACTCGTGATTTAGGAGTTCTGTTCAGATGTGAGGATGATGCAGATTTGATTGGGTTTGCGGATAGTGATTGGGCTGGTTCAAGTGAAGATATGAGGAGCACTACTGGTTTTTGTTTCTCGTATGGTTCAGCTTGTTTCAGTTGGTGTTCGAAGAAGCAAGAGGTCGTGGCACAATCAACTGCAGAGGCGGAATTCATAGCTACCACTGCAGCAGCAAATCAAGCTATATGGCTCAGAAAAATTCTGACAGATTTGGGACTGAAGTCAAAAGATTCAACCCAAATTCATGTTGATAATCAGGCAGCTATTGCTATTTCACAAAATGCAGTCTTTCATGGAAGGACTAAGCATTTTAAGGTTAAATTCTTCTATCTGAGAGAAGTTCAGCAAGAAGGAGAAATCAAGGTGGTTTATTGCAGGACCGAAAATCAGATTGCAGATATTTTTACTAAGGGATTTAATCCTGCAAGGTTTGAGAACTCCACTCTTCCGGATTTTGTAGTACAGATGCTCGAGTTTATCCTGCAGGCCACACTTTTGATATATCCGAAGCATATCACGGAACAAATAAACATCTGGAACAATGTCCTTGTGCTTCTCTTCCATGATCTCGAGAACAGAGCATGCATCTTCCAAGGAACCCGCTTTCAAATACATCCGAACCACAATACTGAAGGCAATCCTGTCCAAGATAACTTCAGAAGATTTCATCTTTAAATACAGCTTCTCTGCTTCACCAAATTCACCCATGATAGTGTAAATGTCGATCATTGTGGATGTGATGTGCAGATTAATCTTGTCCTCAGAATCCTTCGTCTGGTTGTATATCTTCACAGCATCGTCAAGTTGACCGAACTCTTTGCACGAGCAGATCAACAAATGATACAAGTGGGCCTCAAACGCCGGGTCTCTCCACTCTTTCTCTCGCAACAATGCCAAGCAATCATCGACCATAGCATGTTTGATATAAACCATAACCAGCATCGAGAAAGAAGTCTGGTTTGAAGATCTGTCAAAGTTCTTTGGAGAGTGTTTTCAAAACCCTCTTAGCTTGAACATTAACAGAAACCTAAACACCAACACTCTATTCTTAGAACAAGAACAGAGGATCAAATCTGGAACTTCTCATTTTCATATATCCAAAAAATCAAGACGTAGAACCACTTAAATACAACATCAAAAATCAAAAAGGTTAGTGCAGGAGTTTCAAAAAATCTGAAACACAACAACCCCACATGTACAATTCATAACCACTCTTACCTGCTCTTTGACACTAGTACAATGCATAACCACTCTCAACTGCTCTTCAACACCTGTCTATTCCAGAAAATTCCAGCTCCTCTTCTTCACTTCAAAATGTCTTCACCCGCTACCATGCTTAGATCTTGAACCATCTAACAACAAACTCCTCCTTGGATCAAGGTCTAGCACACATTCCGATCATATCTCTCAACTTCTCAAACCTTGCAGGATTAAATCCCTTAGTAAAAATATCTGCAATCTGATTTTCGGTCCTGCAATAAACCACCTTGATTTCTCCTTCTTGCTGAACTTCTCTCAGATAGAAGAATTTAACCTTAAAATGCTTAGTCCTTCCATGAAAGACTGCATTTTGTGAAATAGCAATAGCTGCCTGATTATCAACATGAATTTGGGTTGAATCTTTTGACTTCAGTCCCAAATCTGTCAGAATTTTTCTGAGCCATATAGCTTGATTTGCTGCTGCAGTGGTAGCTATGAATTCCGCCTCTGCAGTTGATTGTGCCACGACCTCTTGCTTCTTCGAACACCAACTGAAACAAGCTGAACCATACGAGAAACAAAAACCAGTAGTGCTCCTCATATCTTCACTTGAACCAGCCCAATCCCTATCCGCAAACCCAATCAAATCTGCATCATCCTCACATCTGAACAGAACTCCTAAATCACGAGTTCCTTTCAAGTATCTTAATATGCGCTTTGCTGCCACCATATGACTTTTCCTTGGACCATTCAAGAACCTTGAAAGGTTGTTAACCGCAAACAAAATGTCTGGCCGAGATGCTGTCAGATACATCAAGCAACCAACAAGGCTTCTATAGGTTCGTTCATCCACAAGCTCTTCATTCTCATCATTCACCAGTTTTCCTTTCACACACATTGGTGTCCTCACACTCTTGCACTCATTGAATCTAAACTTTTTCAATATCTCCATGAGATACTTCTTTTGGAAAAGAAATGTCTCTCCCTCAGTCTGCTTTATTTCCAACCATAACGCTCCTATTCTTCCTCTCACTAACCCCATTTTGTTGAGGTGAGTAAGGCACTGTAAACTGATGTTTTATACCAGCAGACTCACAAATTTCTCTGAACTTCTTTGAGGTATACTCACCTCCATTATCTGATCTCAAAACTTTAATCTTTTCTTTTGTTTGATTCTCAACTTCCCTCTTGAATTTCTCAAACATATCAGAAACCTCAGACTTCTCCTTCAGAAAGTAGATCCAACACATCCTAGTTAGATCATCAATGAAGATAACAAAATATTTGCTACCGGTAAGAGATTCTACTGACATTGGTCCACAAACATCAGTATGAATTAACTGTAACTTGTGTTCAGCTCTCCAATTTGACTTGCCAAAAGGAAGACGAACTTGCTTCCCTTCTGCACAAATACCACATTCACCGAAATTCTTGTTGAAATCTGGTAAACCCGAAACCAACCCATGTTTTTGCATAAGGACCAGACCATCAAAGTGATAATGTCCTAGTCTCTTATGCCAAATTTCCGTTTCTGAAATATCAGCCTTCATTGCATTGACACCAAAATGTTGAGGATTGAAAATGAAACTTTTATTCTTCATTTTGACCCTGAACAGAATAGTGTCTGCAACATCCATGATCACACAATCATTTCTGTCAAACATCAACTTATAACCTTTTTCCATCAACTGCCCAACACTCAGAAGGTTCTGATCAATTTTTGGCACAAACAACACATCTGTAAGTATCCTACAACCATTTGGACCTTTGCACAAAACATCACCTTTTCCTTCAACAGAGATGAAATCACCATTGCCTATTCTAACTCTAGACTTAACAGATTTATCTAGAGTTTGAAATAGATCAAGATTACCTGACATATGGTTTGTACAACCACTATCAATCAGCCATTCATCATCAGCTCCATGTGCAGCAAAACATGAAGCCACAAACAATTGCTCCATCTCTTTTGCATCAGCTTTAACAACCTCTGTTTGTTGTGCAGCATTAAACCTGCAAAACCTTTCAATGTGACCCACTTTGTCACACCTCCTGCACTTTAAATTCTTCCAGCACCTCCAATGAGGATGCCCCTTCTTATTGCAATGCTTGCAGGGATCGAGAAAAGACTTATTCCCACTGGTTTCCTTACCATCATTCTGACCACTCGAGCCATCAGACTTCTGATTCTGAGCAGCTTTCTTCCCTTTCTCTGCAGCATTACCCTTGGCCTTAGCCTTCAAAGCTCCTTCAGTTGATTCCTCTTTCCTCATTAATCTTCTTTGCTCCTGCGCCTGCAAAGCACTAAGCAGTTCAGGAAGTTTAATTTCTGAAATTTCCTTAGTGTTTTCAAGCGAGGCCAAAGTTGCTTCATAACGCTCAGGTACAGAAACCATCACTTTCTGTACCAACCTTTCATCTGAAACTTGAGTTCCCAGAATCCTTATCTTGTTGACAATAGATACCAACCTATCCACATAATTTTTCACAGATTCACTTGCTTTCATATGCTGCCTTTCAAACTCTCTCATCAGATTTAACACTTTCATTCCTCTTATTTTCTCATCTCCCTCATACTCATTCTTCAGAAAATCCCAAACATCTTTTGCTGATTCAAGCTGCATGATCTTTGTGAAAACTGAAGTAGAGACACAAGAGAATAGACAAGACAAAGCCTTTGCTTTGCGAGTTACCTTTTCTCGATGAGCCCTTATTTGATTCAGAGTAGGATTGCCTCCCAATGGTGGAACCTCATAATCACTTTCCACTGCTTCCCATAGATCTGCTCCTCTTAGAAAAGCCTTCATTTTTACAGACCAAATCTGATAATTCTCCTCGTCAAATATAGGCGCCGAGAGAGATGGATTGGGTAACAAACTAGAACCTTCATTGTGCTCCATTTCCACAATACACAGATCCCTTCAAGATCTAACAATAGCTCTGATACCACTGAAGATCTGTCAAAGTTCTTTGGAGAGTGTTTTCAAAACCCTCTTAGCTTGAACATTAATAGAAACCTAAACACCAACACTCTATTCTTAGAACAAGAACAGAGGATCAAATCTGGAACTTCTCATTTTCATATATCCAAAAAATCAAGACGTAGAACCACTTAAATACAACATCAAAAATCAAAAAGGTTAGTGCAGGAGTTTCAAAAAATCTGAAACACAACAACCCCACATGTACAATTCATAACTACTCTTACCTGCTCTTTGACACTAGTACAATGCATAACCACTCTCAACTGCTCTTCAACACCTGTCTATTCCAGAAAATTCCAGCTCCTCTTCTTCACTTCAAAATGTCTTCACCCGCTACCATGCTTAGATCTTGAACCATCTAACAACATGGTTTACACGGATATGATTAAGAAAAGAGCCAGTGAGAACACAAGGCACATCATCGATCTTTCCAACCTTCTCATAAGCCTGCAGAAGGATCCCAAGAATCGAGGAAAGTTGGCATCCAATGCGTATCATATCTTCAACTGTCCTAATAGCACCATCTTTGTCTCCATACTTAGCTTGTAAGTTGATCAATGTGTAAAGGTTTGATGAATTGGGTTTATACCCCAACCTCTTGAGTTCTTCGTAGTACCATTTCGCCTCCTTGTAATTTCCAGCTCGTCCCCACCCTTCAATCATTGACCTGTAACTTGTTTCATCTGGCTCCAACCCAACATCATGGAGATTCTGGAATATACGATTCGCATCTGCCACATTAGAGTTCTTCCCACAACCGGTAATTAAAGTATTGTATGCGATGATATTTGGAGCAAAACCTGCCGCTTCCATGGAGGCCAATACAGATTCAGCTTGCTCCAGTTTGCCCTGTTGGCTATAAGCATTAAGCATCACCAACCAATTCTCTAGATTCAGCTTCACTCCATCTTCCCTCATGAAGTCAATAACGTCCTCTGCTTTATCATATAACCGCAAACGTGTGTAAATTGTTATCATTGCTGAATAAGCAGATTCACATGTTATCCCATGGATTCTCATACGAGAAAATGCAAACTCTGCATCTCCGAGATTCCAACTTTTCTGATAAAGACCCATCACCATACCAAGGGTAGCCGCATTTGGCTGAACCCCAAGATCCAACATCATCCTAAACCACTTTGAACCTAAATTTACAAGACCCTTTTTAGAACACGCATATAAAACTGTGTTGAAAACCTGAAAATTCTGCTCACTGCCCTGAAAACCACACGCTTCCTTGATCAAGGCCTCGGCTCTGTCCCATTCTTCTCTCCTACTCAAAACTCGGAGAATCAAATTATAAGCACCCGTATTTCCTTCTAATTTCCCATTGCTCCTCATCCAGTCGAAAAACTGCAAGGCATTGTTATCACTGCATCTTTCCAGTTTTTTCAAGATAGCATTACAATGCTCCAAACTCAACCCAGGCCTAAGAGCTGAGTAGTTAACATCCAACTCCCTACCTTCCACAAAGATATTCTCCGGTTCAAGTTCACTTCTTTCGCTTCTGAAACTAAGCTTTAGACCCACATCCTTCGTTTTCCCTCTCTTTGCACTCTTGAACGTCTTTCTACTTTTCAATTTTGGACTTCGGTTTCTCTCCACAGCAGCAGCTCCATGTACGGAATCGTTTTGGTCAAGGGAATCAATGACATTGTTGGTTTCGTTTGCTTCAGTCTCGAGACGAGAGACTCTAATTTGCTTAACCCTGATCAAAGAACTAATTATACAAGCTCTAGTGGCGTGAATACAACTGGCTATCGAGAAAATTGGAAATTGATCAGGAAACTGATATGGGTTCGCCGGAAAATGGAACCTTTTTGAATCAAATTGGTCCACGGGAATGGACAATCTTAGCGAACCCATGAAAGCTAGCTATCAAAACATCTACATAGACACCATGAAAACAACACCAAACGTTCCAACTTTTTCGAATTATCCAATCAATATTCAAACCTGAGACTGGTGGAGAGATTATAACGCTGCCTAAAGAGGCGAAATGAGCAGAACAATTCGCATACTTTATCAGAAGATTGGAACAGAGCAAGAAGAAGCTGTGTAGCAAAGATAACAGCTTTTGTGTTGGGGTGTGTTGTGGGTTTTCCTTTTTTTTTTTTTTACTGTTTCAGAGCAGTGCTTCCAAGGGAGAAGAAGAAAGGTCTAGTCGTGGCGGTCCTGTTGGTAATTTATGGATACAGTAGGGGTAGAAGGGACATTTAATAAAAGAGCTTGCGCTGCCAGAGAATGCTAATCCAGGACCGGATCGAAGATTGTACTACGACAGCCACTCAAAAAGGACAACCAACCAATCTTCGGTTCCCCAAGACAGTGACTTCAACAGACCATATCAATGGAGAAAAACATTACAGCTTGTTATGCTCAACTGAACGAATCAGCAACTAAACTTGGCGTTCATTAGTCTATTTCTTGATGTTTCGCGTATGTAGTTTGAAAGCTTAAATCTACATAAAGAACAAGATAAGCGAGAAAAGATATCATAAAGAAGGCCTTTCTTTCTTTCATGCAAAGGCCACAAAATCCTTTACACGACCAGAGTCATCAGAGACAACAAAGATAACTCTATTACAGTTAAGAAATCGTTGTCCTTTGTATTTTAACAATGAGAAATCTGTGACATTATGTTCTCCGCATAAGAATCAAACCCAGATGCTTGCAAATGCCTCTTCAAGTGCCCTCCTTTTGCTTATCTCTATTGAGAATCCTCCAGCCCGAGGACCTCTCTCAGCCTTGAGTTTCATCATTTCCTCATCTTCAAAACCAAAAAGTTGATGTTCCGGCCCTCCTCCAATAGGCACTGGTTGTGGACCCATTCCCATTGGCCGTGGTGGCTGACCCCCAGAGGCTGCAACCGTCAAGCCCTGGTTTGATGACTACAAGATGTAAATCAGGCAAAAGTTTCAGCTTTGGCATATTATTTGTAAATGTGGATTTAGTTCAAGAAGTTATGTAACCAGGTGGATGATGATCAAACCCTGATTACCATATCTGAATCCGTCTGTGTGGGTTGGCCTTTGCAAGCTGCTATGGCTGCAGCTAACTCTTCAGCCTTCCAAACAAAAAAACTGTCAAACTTGGGAATATGCCAAAGAGCAATTACGCCAAAGATGAAATGACGGGGTACCATTCTAGTTTCATTAATACACTCTTTAACACTGCATATTCCCCACTAAGGTTTATTTTCATCACTGTACATCTTTTTTTGGATCACCTTTCACAACTGTATGTCTATAATCTTAATTCAATCACTATTCCTTGAAATTTTATGTGAATAACATTCTTCTGCAGAATCAAAACTGGGATTTTCTTAGTCTAGTTACATGTTTTTCACCTTCCGTATACATTTTTCATTAAGGAGAGTTTATGACTTTTCCACAGAGAAAGGAAAATCGTATAATGGAATAATGAATTGCTGAAATATGTGTCTATTCTTTCTTTGTTGTCTTCGACCATTCAGCTTGATCATCCTCATGTAGGAAACCAAGTAAAGACAAATTATTATCAGCGTTACCTTGCGGGCTCGATTAATCATAATCTGTTCAGCATTCTCTTGAGAGTACTTCTTTATTTTTTCTTCTATTGCATCGACATTTATTCCTTCTATCAAGTCGAATACTGTGAACAGAAGACTTATCATCGGTATGTAATCATACAGACATGGAATTACGGGAAATAAGTTAAACTCACTCATGCACTCTACTTCCTCCAAGTAGTCATTGTATTCCCGTAGCGATGGGAAATCCTCCTCCCGTTTATTGTATCTACATTGCAAGAAAATTATGATAATCAAAGGCAGACACACCAACACATTCCTCAATCTCATGTTTATGAGAAACTACTCCCATTTAGTTAACTTAGTTAATATAAATTGCTTCTTGATGATCATCTCGATGTTCAACCGCAGCAATCCCTTTATGATAATCTACTAATCTATATTCATATAATGAATCCTATACTTTAAGTCAAAATATGACTGAATTGCTTAACTAAGTGCAGTCAACAACAATTTCTATGCATTTCTTCCCACATTTACGAACACGGTGATGGAAAAAAAATATTGCATGAACTTCAACAAAGGAAGGTATATAGAGAGTAGAAGGGAATCAGAAAGAAGAATACATCTCAGAAATTCTCCTTCTGATACTTATTTCCTTGTTGTGAGGGTTGGAATTAGACACCATCACCATGATTTGTGCTGATTCAGCTTCCTGCCTGGTTCACTAAGAGGTTCGTGCATGAGTTGAACAATCTCTAGCTCAATTCAAAGGATAGCAAATGAATCCGTTAACCAATTCTCAGCCTGAGAGTTTTCGCACACCTCTCTTCAAGCAGTTAGAAAATACTAATAGTACCACAGATCTTGGAAAGGATACCCGGGATGAAAGTGACACAGCTATCAGATTCCACCTCTCAATAAACGTAGTAACACTCACTGAATCCACATTGTAAAGGCTGGTTCATTCACTACCAATGTCAGGAAACAATTATCATATCCTTAATCATGACTAAATTCAATCACGAATGGCATTAGCTAGAGATTCATATTACAGCCGCAAGAAGCGAGAAAATGCTATTCTTCACAACAGGAACTCCCACTTGTAGCATCAACATCCTTCACCATTTTGTGAAGAATGATAAAGAAAACTCCAGATCCCTAGAATTTCTTGTAATCTCATTGTGATGACATTTTCAGTGAAACCCAATTTCCTGTTACCAATCAGAAGATGGATACCAACATTACGTCTCTGAGTTACTAAAATATACGTTCAAGTACAGCGTGCAAATAATTAACTGAATATATATATATATGTGTGTGTGTGTGTGTGTAAACATGTTTCGATGCCGGGTAATTTCGTCAGACGGGAGAACAGGAGACGTTCTGCATGTTTGCTCGATTTCTTCGTGTAGGAATGCTCTTATCGAATCATCTACAGGCCTCCCCCTTTGTCTTCTCCTTCGTGTAGGAATAAGTTCTTCATAGGATTGGGTTTGTTTAAGATGGAACATAATTTTTATGCACAGATTTGGCTGGTTCCTAAACGACATAGTTTTAATATTGCGGATACTCATAGTTGATTAACACGTTAAGTCAATTTCGTCAGGCGGCCCGCCCGTTTTCTCTGATCTCCGAAATTCCTGGAGACATGTAGAACATTTGTAGGATTGGGGATTGTCCTCTTACGTATGTAGGTAAGTCTTGTCTTTATATTCTAATATTCAGCATCAACATTACCCCGTACGGGAGATTGATTTCTGGGTGGTAGTTTCTATACAAGTGTATTGGAATGCAAAACTAATTTTCGGTGGTGTTTTAGGCAAAGTTGTTGCCATTTTAAGTAACTACAAAGAGCTTTGTTTTGGTTGTTTTGTCTCCAAGATAAAAAAAAAAGGTTTGGTGCTTTCCGGCATGATTAAAGGATTGATATTGTGACAACGTAGGATATCGTAGAAGGGTGGAGAGTGATCGCCGGTGCGAGAGGCATGGACAAAGAGCGACTCCTGACGAGCTTCTGGGTAGGGGTATAGGGATGAATCGGACGTACCGGAATGTACGTCAGCCATTGTGAATACGTTGACTCAGCCATTGAAAATATATTATTGAACATTCAACGGAAAGGCTCAGAACAATGATTAATCACTAGACCAAAGAATTCTCTGATCTCGACTACAGAAAGAGCATTTCTGGGCTGGCAAGCAAGAATTGCAGGGACCAATACCACACAACAGCGCAATTTCATATTCATAAAAAAACCCACAACCCAAAACTTCTTCTAGCCTCGATTACACATATCGAAACACAAAATCTCTTAAATACTAGTCTCTCATGAACCCTAGAGCTTGGCACCGGAATCATGATTCTATTTCCTTCTCGAACCCCAAAAAAGAAAATTCAGAAACGGTAAAGCAAAGCCATGATGAAATCAACATACCAGCAAGAATTCACAGCAAAATCCCCTCAACTCCAACAAATTTTAAGCCCCAAGATCTTCTCGAAACCCTGAAAACAAACCAATCACGAATTCAAAGATATTTAAAAAAAAAAAGAAACATATAGAAATCGAACACAAAGCAATTGAAAAGCTCGTAAAGAGAAGCGATTGGGGCACGGCTCATAGGCTGGCAGCAAATCGAAGTATTTAATAAAAAAGGGGAAAAAATCGGACCCGAGTAAAAACCCTAGGTTTTGGGGATTTTCTTTGGAAAATTGCTCTCAAGTTGTAAAACTTTCTCTACTCAAAAAGGTCGAGAGAGGTTTGATTTGATGATATGATACGGCCGAGTAAAACTTTTAGACACGTGTCCACTTATGAACATACGCATATGGGGTCTTCCCTGGAGTGACGTCATCGTAATTCGTAGCTCTATGAAAAATAATTTCATCGTCGATTCGGAATTTGCAAAAATAATTTAAAAAATTGGAAAAATGTTAGGCCCACGTGACATGCAAGTGATAGGTTGGAGCAATTGACACGTGGATATATGGGACCACACTTGTTTTGTTGTCATCCAATCTCTTAAGTACTGCGATTTTTTATTTTTTAAAATAGTAAAAATCGTATCAAAACGTGTAATTAGATACAAAATTTATACAAATTGTAATTATCACAATGAATAGATATGAATTATTTTAATAACAAATAAATTCGTTATTTCGCTCTCCTAAATTTAGGATCTCATTCGTTCTCACACATTTTAAAATATGCTTCTTAGATAGCATATATAAGAGATATTGTCCAAATCGCGAACTTCATGTTTGCACATATGTAATATGGATCTATGGGTTAGATCATATGAAATCCATGTTTGATATGAGAAACATGAGTTGTTGCACTAGAATCTAACTACCATGTACTATTAGGTACTTCAATAATGTTCGATTCAAAGCAAACAAAAATTTTATGTTGGCCATTACTCTCGAACCATTCCTTTATTTTCTTGTAGTCTTTCTTAATGTGTCCACTCTTCTTGCATAAAAAATACTTGACTTCTTTTTGGATTTGGCTCACATTAGCATTTATTGGAGCTGTATCCTTCCTTTTATCATTTTTCTCTGGCTTTCTTGTAATCTCATTGTGATGACATTTTCGGTGAAATCCAATTTCCTGTTACCAATCAGAAGATGGATAATCCTTAAAAAAACTCACCTTTCCTAAACGCCCATTATAGGGTTAGAGAATCGCAAGTCCAGATTCGAAACTGAAGCTCCAAGCCCAAGACACTAATCCAGATTTTAAGCGAAACTCTAACTTAAACCAAAACCTAACCTAACAAATGGAAGTTTGTCGCACACTTAAACATCAAGAACAGGACTCTAGGCATGATTCAAACAAAATTTTGCAGGAAAATTGAAGGAAAACTTTACCTCAGAACCGCGAAAGGCGGCTTCCGACCAATGTAGAATATCTCACCAAAACCAAAGAACATATAATCCGATAAATTTACTATGCAACTCTGACAAGAAAAAGATCTTTTTCTTGCTTCGCAGTCGCCGATAGCTAAAGTATAGGCTTCCGGTCCAAAGACTGAATTCTTCTCTTCGAACTCAGTGACGAAGTCGAATCGAAGAAAAGATAAAATTAAGGGGAAAATGGGGAGAAATTTCTTAATGTTTGGGCTTATAGTGAGGCCAATCTATTTTATCTAATTACAGTTAGACTCATAATAAAACTTAAATTATGTTTTCTTCCGATTATTTCCTTGTCTAGCTCTAGAGGTGGAGTGTCCCTTTCGGTTCGGTATTCATCCGTGAAATAATATATTCTTTTCTCTAATAATTATTATCTGTTCAATTTAACTCGGTTTTACTATATTAATACCAAATAAGAATCAAAATTTGATATTTTACATATAAATTCTTACATAATTATTATAATTCGACTTTGTGTTTGATATTAAACGAATTCGATTCAGTATTTATCGGTTTGATTAGAAATGATTTATTTGATTCTACAAAAATTATACTAAATTATTGA